ACGGCGTTTTTAGGTGTCGCTGTGATCGTTTTGGTTTCAGGAAAGCGAGCTAGAAATCCCCGTGAATGACAGGAACGATCTGGAAGAGTTTCCTCCAGACACCAGGCTGCTTTCATCTCTCTCTGCCTCTTTGATCGCCTCTCAGTCTTGGGAGTAATTTTCCTCCTTTCCCATTCATGCGATTCATATCCTGCTCATATTCAGGCCTATCTCTGCATCGCTTTGACTGCTTCGCCGCTCCCCCTCTCCTTCCCCGTGTCTGTCTGTATTTGTTTCATGTTTAACTCCACAGTTTGACCTCCAAGTCTTTGGTACAGTGTCCCAACCGGCTGCTTAAGTATTCTGCAAACACCAGCATGTGTTATTGCTCCCTCTTACTTTGTGAGACAGCAGGAATTTTCCATAGATCTGCGCTCTCTCTATAAAACTGCTCAGGCCTGACAGATTGTGTTGATGAATCAGCCTCCGTCTGCCTTGTGTTGGAGTGCTTTTCTCTGTGGTGCTGCTCTGCCTGACTGCTGTCTGCCACTTATATAACTCCCTCTTTGTGCATTTGTCCCACAACTGTCCTCCACCACGAGAATGAAAATCTGAAAATTGAACAGTTTTTCTTCAAAAAAAAAAAAAGGGACAACATTCTTAGTTTTCTTTTTCAGGACTCGTCCGTCCGGCAGGTTTCTTCGCCCATCTGGCCCGTTTGGCAGCGCGGTCCGTCTCTTCGTTAAAAAAAATCTGACTTGTAGTAACAGATTTCACTGTCTCTCAGCTCAAAGGCTCCGTGGATTTCATTTATTCGTTGGTTTGTTGGCGTTGGAGAGTGTTGTTTTGTGTTTCTGTGAAGGTCGCCGCGGCCCACTGCCACGCAACTTGAGCCGCGACACACTTATGTCGGTGTGGCCTCGCCCAGCTGGTGGAGGCAGATGGCTGCCCTCCCTGGGCCTGGTGCTGCCGGAGGTTCCTCACTGGTTGAACGATTTATTTGATTCCTGTTGCCACCAAAGTGATGTGATTTGTTGGGTTTCTCTCTGTGATAGGATATTGTGAGGTCTTGACAGGAGCTTTAATGAGTAATTGATCATTTGTGAGCTACTTATTGAATTTATTACCAACTTTTTCGGTAATAACTGAGTGTTTTTGTTTGCTGTTGTTTTTTTCGGAAAAAGTGAAAAATTCTCTGATTTGAGCTTCTTAAGTCTAAATAGTTTCTGGTTTCTTTTTTCTTCTGTGACATTAAACTAAATATCTTTGGGCTGCAGACAAAACAAGATGTTTTATTTTATGTTGGTCTTTTAGAAACACTTATGGACATTTATCTCCCTTTTCTGACCTTTTATAGACCAAACACCCGAGTGACGAATCGAGAAACTAATAAACAAAATAATCAATAATTAAAATTGTGGAGTCTTGACTGGAGCGATTAATTGATTAGCTGTCAGCTGCATAATAACTTAAGTGCCAGCTGTTGTAATAACAGTTTCTCTTGTTTTTTGTTTTTTTTCTTAAAGAAAAAAGTCAAAATTCTCAGATTTTAGCCTCTACAATTTTAATATTTTCTGGGGGTTTTTTCACCTCTCTGACATTAAACTAAATATCTTTGGGCTGCAGACAAAAACAAGATGTTATTCTATTTTATTTTGGTCTTTTAGAAACACTTACGGACATTTATGTTATGACCAAACACCCTCGTGATGAATCGAGAAAGTAATTGAGGAAATACCAACAATGAATATTGTGAGGGTTTGACTGGAGTACCAACCAATAATTGATTAGTTGTCAACTACATATTAAATTATTTTCAAAATATTTTAATACGATTTTGTCTATTTTTTTTTTTCTTTAAAGAAAAAAGTCAAAATTCTCTGATTTTAGCCTCTACAGTTTTAATATTTTCTGGGGTTTTTTCACCTCTATGACATTAAACTAAATATCTTTGGGCTACAGACAAAACAAGATGTTATTATATTTTATTTTGGTCTTTTAGAAACACTTACGGACATGTATCTCTCTTTTCTGACCTTTTATAGACCAAACAAGTTATTGATTATTGGAGAAACTAGTCGACAGATTAATAAACAACAAAAAAAATCATTAGTTGCAGCTCAAGTTTTGACTTTACAATGTGGGATTACTTGTGTTGTTGATCGACACCATTAAAATGGAACTGAATCGAATTAGTTGGTTTATCTTTACATTGGAAGCTAGTCTTGTTAGCATTATATCTTATTGTCGTGAAAGTTAACATGAGGAAGTGTTGAGCGCTCTGCCACCATAATGAACCCGACAGCAACTTGGAATACTTGATGTTTGTCTCTGACAGCTCTGGAAGTGAAATGAATCTGATTTTGTCTTTCCGTTCCCATCGTGTCGGTTGTTGTAGCCGCTTCAAGATTTTCTTTCGCACGTTGTTCATTAATTCTGCATTTTCGTCTGTGTGACTGCTGTCAGCTGTCAGAAGTCAGAACATCCGGCTCTTCCACTCCACGTCCTGCTGCGTATGTCGAGTTTACGTTCATTAAGGTTGAACTTCACGCTGTGAATAATTGGATCTTCTTTTCTTTTCTTTTTTTTCCTTAGAACATATTGTCGGAGCTGCTTTTCTGGTAGAAACTTGCCCTTCTTTTTGTAAAGTCGTGGAAAAGTTGGTTTTCTTTGCCAACACTGGGACTCAGTGTTTGAGAATTCAGAATTTTATTGGGTGGAAGCATAAAAAAGTCCTAAAAGCACCTGCTCTATGTGTGTAGTGGTGGAGTTATACAGTGTTTTTTGGTCATGATGAATGGACCTTGAATGAAAGAAAGTTTGTATGCTGTGGAAAAAAAAAAAGTTCAGTTTGTTTTTTTTTTTTTTTTACTGAAGCATTCAGGATTTCAGTAGATTCACACGTCCACATGTTCAGCTTTGAGCGGACATCGATCAGCCGCAACGTTCAAACCACTGAGAGGTCAGGTGGATACGATATTAGATACGACGAGATGAGATAGATAGCAACTCATAGCTTGATTAGTTACAGAAGTTTTGTTCTAAGATACTCTTTGTGTTTCAGGAATTAGAAGTTAAAAAAATTCATCCAAATCGATCGGAAACATCTCCGACTTTTGGCATCAATGTCCCATCGTTCCCCAAGAAACATCCAGATGAAGTTTGATGTTGTCATGGCAATTTGTTGATGAGATAGATAGATAGAGGAGATACAATAAGATATGATAAGATACGACACGCGATACACGTTACAATATGATATAACGTACGTACGACAAAATAAGATACAATACGACATGATATGATACAACATGTTAAGATACAATAAAATAAAAGCTACAATACAACAAGATACGATGCAACAAGGTACGATAAGATATAAGATACGATGTGATGAAATAGGATAAGATACAAGACGTTATGATACAATGTAAAATATGTTAAGAAACAATAAAATACAACAAGATGATATACGATGAGAAATGATACGACACATTACGATATAAGACACAACACGATAAGGCATAAGATGAGATATCACACGGTACAATACGGTATAAGCTACAATACAACAAGATGACATACGATACGATAAGAAACAACAAGATACGACAAGCTGAGATACAATAAGATGTGATACGATACATGTTACGATGTATGATGAGAAACAATAGATATGATACAACATGTTAGGATACAATACAAGATACAATACAGTAAGAAACAATACGCTAAGATAAAATGAGATACAATAAGAGAAAATAAGATATGATAGGATAAAATAAGATATGATAGGATAAAATAAGATGGGATATGATAAGTTAAGCTACGATAAGAAACAATAAGATGCGATATGTCATGATACGGTACAGCAAGATGAGATACGGTACGATAAATACGATAATAAAGTGCAGTATCTTGTAGAAAAGCAGTAAGACGTAAGTACGATGTATTTCTGTAAAGAGCAACTAAGCTGCAATGAGACTAGAATCGGAAAGTAACAGGAAATATTGGTAATGATTCTGATGTATGGTAACATCACATTGACAGTGATCATGTCCTTACAATGAAGTGTTCTTCTGGGAAAACGTGGGTCTTGACATTTGTGGGGGATCTTCCTTTGACGTGTACCACCTACCCAACAGCAAAAATGACTCAGCTTGAGGAACACGACCAAGATTCTCGGGCGTTTGACGGAGCAAACCTGATCCACAGAGGTCCCGCTCGACCTGAAAACCTGCTGCCAACACCAGCTAATGTCCTCCAGACATCCCGGTCCAAGCCCCAACGGGTTTAAACTCAGCACACTGTGGCTGTGCACAACATTCGGCTGTTGGTTTTAATGTTGTGGCTGATGTGTGTTTGCTCAGACCCAGTGCAGCAGCAGCAGCAGCAGCAGCAGCAGAATAACCTTCGCTTCCTTTTATCTCTTGTGATTGGCACGCTGAGAAAAAAGAACAAGGGCTGCGGCAGATTTTCCAGAGCCTTCATCTGTCAGACGAGCGCGAGAACTTGTGTAATCTCAAAACGAACACATGTCCATTCCTCTGCATCAGTCCGTATAAATTAGACGCCAGTCACGATAATGGAAATCCAACTCTGACTGCGTACTTTGGTCTGTCGCTCTGCTCGGTCGGCGTAGTTTGACCTCCAAGCGTTTCCTCTCAGCGGCGTTCGGCACCATTTCATATTGCGCCGGCATGATTTGAAGGGGGGGGATGTTTGTGCATATATTAGGTGTACTCTATAAATCTGCTCCGACGCTTCGTGCCTATCATTTAGCAATCGTCGGTCTCCTGACGTCTCACTCTGCTCCGCTCGCCTTCATCCTGCATTTGTTTTGGCTGTTGGCAGCTGTTTTATGCGCGAGCTCGTCGGGCTTTTTGAGGAGAATATTAAGCAGGGAAAGTTGACGGACTGTGGAGTAATCCTAGCGAGCGTGATGAAAGAGAATTTTAAAGTTAACCGGTCTTAAAGTCAACCCTCTCTTTCTGTTTTTTTTTTTGTTGTCTTTGTTGCAGGTATTCAAACTAAAGGCGGTCCAGCTAGCCGAGAAGCTGCTTCCTGCCTTCAACACCCCGACTGGGATTCCCTGGGCCATGGTCAACCTCAAGAGGTGAGTTGCAGAATACCGACTCATTAACTTACCCAGAAGGAATATAAAGTGACTTTTCTCTCGTTTTAAGTGTTCAGTTGACTACAATGTTTAGATAGAAAAGATGTTTTATGTTGTTACTGCACTTCTTTCTTCAGTGTGTAATGTCTGTACTATTTCAGAAAAGCCAGTTTTTTATCTTTTATATCAGTAGACTGCATGTAAATATGGACACAGTGTCATGGACAACATGAAACTACTATTTTAAGTCGACTTTAAGCCTAAAATGCCTCATTTTCAACAGTCTAATTACAAACAGGCAACAGGAACGTCACAATAAATCCACAGATACAAGGAAACAACCAGATTTCTCCTTTGATTTTCTACCTCACTAGATGTTTTCCTAAACCGTTAATGGTCTCAACTGCTAGTTTCAAGCCTTTCTTAGCACAGCAAGATGTTCGCTTTGTAAGTTACAGTTCCATTTAGACTAAAATGGACAATAAAGCCGGCCGTGTTTGGCTGTTTTCTTCTGGTTTGCTACCACTCATGGTGTCATGTTTCAATGGAGCAACATGGAAATGATCATATTCCAAACGTAAAGCTTCAAAACAGCAGTTTTACAACCATGGTCATCACTTCTTTTTTCTTTTTTTTCTTTGAGGTCATTTTGTGTCTCTTTAGGGACATTTTGGGTCTTTTTGTGGACATTTTCCCTGATATTATGATCATTTTGGATGTCTTTGTGGCCATTTTGTGTCTTTGAGGTAATTTTGTGAAACTGAAGCATGTCCAGGTGCATCTTAAGTCACGTGTTGTCATGAACACTGCTGAGCAAGTCCGTCTGAATACACCTTTTGCATCACAAATATATATACTTTTATATAGTCTGTGTGCACATTTGCGTCACAAATCCGCAGCTACAGTTAAAAAAAAGTAGTTTCTTTGCGTTACTATTCTGCCTGTTTACTTGTTTGGTGAACATCATTGTGTGGTTTCAGCTGAATCTGAACCCCTACAACCTGTTTTAAATGCTCTGATTTACCACCTAAGTTCTCATAACGCCCCCTCTTATTAATTATTTGTAATAAACCATTTAAGTTAAGACACATAAACAAAACTCCTGCAGCTTCAGTTCATACATTAAACACACCAGTGTGACACACGGTCCTCGTCCAGATTAAATCACAGCTTTGAATGCTCTTTAAGTGTTAACTCCTGAAATATTTGTTTTGCATTTTGAAGAGCTCGTCCACGTTTCCGCCCACGCAGGTGTTTTCACACACTTTGCCTGATTGCTGGACTGTGTGGGTTCGTGCACGTTGTTCTGCTGCTGCTGCTGCATCAAGGGCAGGGCAGCTTCCACCTTCATCATCCTTATTATCGCATCATTTATTCACCTCGTGTTCCTCCCCCAACTTCAACCTGAAAGAATCGGTTCGAGCGCCTCAAACCGCCCGTTTGAAGGCAGGTTTTTTGGGGAATTTGTGTTTTTGACAGGCTGTGAAAGGAGCGTTTAATTCAGCTTGTGGAAACCTGCAGCCTCCCCGTTGCCCTGCAGTGGCTCACCTTCCAGCTGCAGCGTAACATTACCACAACGCTTCCATCCCATTTCTGCTGCCTTGTGTCTTTTAGTCGTGTGAAGGGTTTCTTTGATATTTCTACTTCGTGTTATTGATGCACATTGTACTTATTCGTGGCGGTTAAAAAATGAAATGAAACGGCGCCCCTTCGTTAACCTGCAGGCCGGTTTGTTGCTAAGCAGCCAGGCTCCGATGAGCATCCCGTCGTAGGTACCGGCGGCTCGTTGAGGATCTACACGAAGGCCTCGCTCTGCTCACGGTGATTCTAGTTCGTCAGGCGCTTTGTGACATCGACGGCAGAAACCCTCCGAACCGACGGTGCTCACGGGAGTTAAAGCTGAAGAGAAAACACGAGCAAAGTGTGGCGTCCTTAACTTGCTTGGACAAGCAAGGATACGTATAATGCATCAGATTGTCTGTAGAACTGAGACATCTCCATCTTATGTCACGTGTTGTTATGAACTAGTCCATCTGAATACACCTTTATAAACCAGTATTACTTCACCTGCTGCTGGTATCAGAAGTAATTAATGCTTTATCAGTTTGGACGTGACGTCCACCCGATGAGCTTCTGTTGTCGTTTGCTTACCAGATGTTGGTTTTGGTGGAAACAAAGTCGACTTAACATGAGATCCCATCAACTGGTCACTTGGTCATCAACGTGTCTGATTCAGTACAGTCCAACTGAGTCTCTATGGGGTCATTTTTTATTTCTTTGTGGTCATTTTGTGTGTCTTCATGGTCCTTTTCGTCACTGCTTATGGTCATTTTACACGTCTTTAAAGTCATTTTGCGTCTCATTATGATCATGTTGGATTTCTTTGAGGTCATTTTGTGTCTTTGTGGTAATTTGGCGTCTCTTTAGGGTCATTCTGTGTCTCTTTGCTGTCATTTTGATTCTCTTTGGGGTAATTTTGTGTCTCTGTGGACATTTTATGTCTCTTCATGGCCATTTTGTGTGTCTTTGTTGTCATTTAGTGTCTCTTTAAGGTCCTTTTGCATCTCTTTGTGGACATTTTGTTTCTTTTTGTGGTCATTTTGCATCTCTGAAGTCATTTTGTGCTTCTTTGCGGTCATTTTACATTTCTTTGTGGGCATTTTGTGACTTTTTGTGGACGTTTTGCGTCTCTTTAAGGTCATTCTGTGTGTCTTTGTGTTTATTTTGCACCTCTTTATGATCATTAAAGTCATTATGTGCTTCTTTACGGTCATTTAATTTCTTTGTGGACATTTGGGTTGTTTTATGGTAATTTTGCATCTCTTTGAGGTCATCTCGATGTGCTTTGCGGTTATTTTGGGTCTCTTTATATTCAGTCTGCATCTCTTTAAGGTAATGTCGTGTCTCTCAGATGTCATTTTGGGTGTCTTTGTGGACATTTTGCTTCTTTTTGAGGACATTTGGATTGTTTTATGGTAATTTTGCGTCTCTTTATGGTCATTTTGTGTCTCTTTGCAGTCATTTTCTGATTGGTTGCGTCACAAGTAACAGCTGATCAGCACTGAACAATAAATGCTCAGTGTATGGAAAACATTCATGAAAATAAAAACAAAAATAAAAATAACAATAAAGTGAAAATATAATAAATTCCAGTAAATGAATAAATACAAAAGAAGACGTTGCAGCTGCTTCTCATAGTCTCACTCTTGCACTTCTTAAACTTTATGATGATTCATTGACTCCGTAGTTTCGATGACTTTTTTCTTTTTTTTTTTGGCTTTGTCCAAAGTTCCAGTTAATGAAGCGTTTTTCAACCTACGGCTGAAAATATGATCCTAACTGCCACAAATCTCAGCAGCTGCCAAACGATGCGCTGAGTCATTGGCCTTAATTAAAAACCCAGTCAGACGCATTCTGGTCATTTTTTTATCCGCGAGCCTGTAAAAACATCTTTATCGCTGCTTTAACGTGAGCGTATAGGATTCAGCCTGTTTGTTCCTCTGTCCAAGTCTTTATAACGTCCGTCTCCTCCTCTGCAGCGGCGTCGGGCGTAACTGGGGCTGGGCGTCGGCGGGCAGCAGCATCCTGGCCGAGTTTGGGACTCTGCACATGGAGTTTGTTCACCTGACCTACCTGACAGGAAACCCCGCCTACTACCAGAAGGTAACCCACTGACGTCGTTTTTCTCTTTAACATAAAGTCCTGCTCCTCTATGGAAACAGAACGACCCTGAGGGAACTTAGAAATGTCTTCTGTGCAGCGTGACACACAAATGATTCTAAAAAGTACCATTTCTTTGATTATTTATTTTACAAAAATGCAAAAAAACAAATACTCAACATGTCCACAGGTAACTCTGGAAACAATGGAGGCTTCACCTGTTAAAGATGTTCAACTGTTTTGTATTTTTAGCTTGTTTCCTGTCTGCTCGGTGTGAACACTGCCTGCAGTTCAGCCCAAAATATGCTGAGTCACTAGTTATGCAAGTTTTTGTTTTCTCTTAATCTGGTTAATGCAGTTGGTTTATTTTTGGGAAAATTTGTAAGACGTGTGGAGTTTTTCTAGACAAACTGAGAGTGACGTGTGTTTAGTTGTAGAATTACCAGTTATGATTAAGTTAAAACGATATAAATCATAAAAAACAAAAGGTTTGGCTATTTTTAAAAAAATTTTTTTTACAAAATTTCAAAAAAACTAATCAACATGCACCAGCGTAAATTCCCCCTGAGGAACATTGTCCTTTTAATTAATAAATACATAAACCCTCTGTGTCAACACTGCCTGCAGTTCAGCCAAAAAACAAGAGATGTGTAGTAAAGAGTTTTTCCCGACAAACCAAAAGTGACCTGTTTAGTTGTAGGATTGCTGGTTACCATTAAGTCAAAATGAAAAAGAAAAAGTAGATTTTTTAAAAATGTGTTTACGAATTTAAAAGAAAAAATCTCAGCATGCGCCGGGTTAAATCCTCCTGAGCACCGTCGTCCTTTTCATTTCTGAATATATAAACACTCTGTGGCAACACTGCCTCCAAGTCAGACGAAAAGAATTTGAATTTTTGTCACGAGACACTTGAGCGAGAAGTTGTTTTTTTTTACAGTATCTGGTGGTGCAAGTGTTTTCTTTTTCTTTTTGCAAATCTTTAAATGTAGAATATAGTGATGAGATTTCAAGATTTTAAATTCAGATTTGGTTAATTATCCCAACAGAACAGCTCGTCACACATGATTAGGACGGTTGGAAAGTTGAAAATCCGGCGTTGTTTTAATTTCTGTCTCTGATAAATGGTGTCATTTTGCTTCTTTTTTGCTTTTTTTTAAAGGTACCACGACTTTCAAACGAAAAATGTCTTTTGAGGTTCAGAGGTTGAAGAACATAAAAACAAATCTCACATAAACGAATTAAACGAGCGAGTCAGGAAGGGGAGATGTTTCCTTCTTGCATTAACACTGGTGTGACTGCTGTGTCCAGGTGATGCACATCCGGAAGCTGCTGGCCAAAATGGACCGACCCAACGGGCTTTACCCGAACTACCTGAACCCCCGTACGGGCCGCTGGGGCCAACGTGAGTACACCTGTCTATTGACCTTTTGATTTCCTCTGTCTTTACGTAGCAGAGCCATGAAGAGCAGGAGGAGAGATTAACTCTAAGTGGAGGGACGACGAGCGCTGGAATGGATCCTCTCTAATGAGGACAAATTGAATCGAGTAGAAGACGATGGAGGACGGGGGACGCAGTATTCCCACTATATTGATTAAATTTGGCGAGCTGCCCGGGGAAATTAACGGCGAAGTGAAGTTCGACACGCGGCGACACACGAAACCCGTCGTTTCTGCTCCGAGTAAATTCCCCCGCAAACGTGTAATGAAGCTGAAGAGACAACAAGTGCGTCTGTCGGTTACACCTGAAAACAACGTGGGACAAGCAGGCGCTTTGTAATTACGGTCACGCCGACGAAATGCAAATGCGGGATCAGAATACGAACACGTGAATCCCAGCGGACATGTTTTTAGCTTAAGCATAGGTCCAGTTTCAGGTAGCTCTGATTACTTCTCCTGTTTGTTGGGGCGGAGAAAGGATCCCGCTTCACCGCATGTTTGGAATAAAAACGAGTAAAAGTGTTCCTGTTCTGTGCAGAAAAGAATGCTGCTTTTTCTAAGTTTATCTGAAGAGAGCAGGTTAGAAGTCAGAGTTCAACAAATCACATGAGCGCCTCCCAGACTCACAGTATCTAAAAGTATTTGTACTCCTCATGAATATAAAAACTCTACGTTCAACTCTTAGTTAATGTTTTGTGCTCATGTCCATCCTTTGTGTTTCTTGACTTTGAATGGAAGCAGCTGTAACACGAGCAGTTTCCCCCTCAGGCATCGATAACGTGACTCTGAAGTCCAGACATCTGCAGCAATATCTTTAAGTTTCATCTCTACACATATATATATGTACAGATAAAACCAGACGTTTACATCCACTGTATAAACTTGTAACTTCTAACCTTTATTCTTCTCACTGTCTGACATTAAATCAAACTTTTCCTGTTTCAGGTCAGTCAGGATCACCAACATTAGTTCTATTTGTTAAACACCAGAATAATGACAGAGAGAGTTTTTTATGACTTTCTTCAAAGTCAGAAGTTTCCGTCCATCTCCTCAGGATCTGCTAGCGTTGCCTTTAAACTCTATGACTTTGGGTCAAACGTTCTGGGTTTCCTTCCACAAGCTTCTCACAACAGTCTAATGAGTTCTGGTCCATTCCTCCTGACAGAACTGGTGGAACTGGGTCGGGTTTGTTGGTCTCGTTGCTCCACTGATGTTCTCCAGGATGGAGATCAGGGCTTTGTGATGATGGCCACTCCACAACACTGACTTTTACCTCTTTTCCACCAAGGAGCACCAGGTGCTTAGTGCTGGTGCTTGGTTGGTTCCAATCTAAGAACCTGTTTGCTTTTCCATCAGCCAGGAGCCAAGTTCGAGCCACGCCATACGTCACTCCATACGTAGCCGTTTACTGAACAGCGGACGTCCACACAGGACTCCAGACAGACTTTTTAACCAGTGTGACCAGCTTTCTCATTTGATCGTACTTCCCACTTTGTCTCAGGTTAGACATGTGACTTGCTGAACATTTTCTTATCGATAGACGCTACAGTTTACGATGTTCCCCGAACGCCCCACATAGCAGGCTGCGGTAGCGGCTGTTGGTGGCTGCGGTGCTCAGACCGGTGTGTGACCAAAGATGGCTTTAAAAAGAGTAAACTAGAGCGTTCTGACGTCAGATTTGTTCAAGATGAAACCCAGCGATGTTTTCTCATGCGGCTTTTTCTATAAACAGCACATGTAGGTTTTTCATGAGAAGACCTCATGTCTAAGCGTAAATACTGCAGAACACCAAAGTTATAAAAGTACTGTTTTCCACCACCGTGGTGCTGCTGCTGGGACACAGTTGGACCGGGTTTCAATGGTTTGTGAAGAACTGCTGTGTGTCCCTGGACTTATTGCAATACATCTGTGATCGGACCAGAGACGTCCTGGTGAAAAACAACACAAATCACCGCTTGTGTGTCCCATTCATTCATCGGTCTCGGTGGTCTCGATGACCCCGCCCCCAGCTCCTGACGTACTGGTGCTTAGCTCTGGCCCAGCAAAGAGTTGGTGCTCGCTAAGCACCAGTTTGGAGAGCCTGGAGCCAATGGTTAGGCGACGGAACACAAAGAACTGGTGCCAAGTCAGGCACGAGGACGGAACTAGCACTGGAACCAGTTTGGTGGAAAAGGGCTATTTGTTGTCCTGAAGCCTCTCTGTAGCTAATCTGGCACTATGCTGAGGGTCATTGTCCATCTGAAGACCCATTAGTGTCCAAGCTTTACCTTCCTGCTGATGTCTGGAGATGTTGCTTCAATATCTCCACATCATGTTCTGTTCAGTGTCTGGTTCCTACTGTACTGATCACACTAACTAAACATCAGGTTTGTGTACAGATGTGGGTGATGTGCTGGTGTCGCTGTGTTTTCTGCTTCACAATCAGAAACACCTCCGCTGTACGAACAGGAGGAGCCGTGACAGACACTAGACTGCTGTCTTCAGTGAGACGTGATGAACGCAGACCTTACTGGATGTCAGTTACGTTTTTAGGATACAGAGGAGATACAGAAACGCTGATAACTGACCTGCGCTCACGGCTGACAGCAAACTGCTCTGTCAGGGTTTGTCTTCTCCTCGCACGGCGCCGTCAGCCCGCCGAGTCGTCCTCCAAACATTTACCCAGAACGTCTCACGTTTCCTTTCATCCTGAGCGTTTGTAGACGTCTCCCCAAAAAATTACTTGGGAGCGTTTCAAGTTGCACTCGCAGCGTTCGCGAGGGAGCACTAAATATTTCTCTTTGTTTGTTTTCCAGCGTTGCAGCGGGGAGGGTTTTGAAAGCGAGTCTGCGTTTAACAGAGGCTCAGATGCCGGTTTGACAGATATGCAGAGGGTCGCCGTGTGTTATCGCAGCACTCCAACAGAATATTAAAACATTGTGGATATTAAAATATTCCTTTTCGCGCACGCCTCAGAAGTATTTTGTTTTAATGGAGCGCTGTAGTTTTTTTTTTTTTTTCCGATCCGATATCTGCTCCGGCTTTGCTCTTTAGTTCAGCGAGAGGAAATGAAAAGATGAAATCTCTTTAAAATTGAATATATTGTGGGATTTTTTTGTTTTTTTTTTTGTCCAGGAGAGCGAGTTGCTACGAGCGCCGTAATAAATCTATTAATTTCACACAACTCCCAAGTAAATGGAAACACACACAGACTAAAGAGAGTCCTAAAACACAGATGCTGTGGTCCAGCTAGATTAGATTTTTTTTTTTTNCTTTTATATAGTCTGTGTGCACATTTGCGTCACAAATCCGCAGCTACAGTTAAAAAAAAGTAGTTTCTTTGCGTTACTATTCTGCCTGTTTACTTGTTTGGTGAACATCATTGTGTGGTTTCAGCTGAATCTGAACCCCTACAACCTGTTTTAAATGCTCTGATTTACCACCTAAGTTCTCATAACGCCCCCTCTTATTAATTATTTGTAATAAACCATTTAAGTTAAGACACATAAACAAAACTCCTGCAGCTTCAGTTCATACATTAAACACACCAGTGTGACACACGGTCCTCGTCCAGATTAAATCACAGCTTTGAATGCTCTTTAAGCGCTAACTCCTGAAATATTTGTTTTGCATTTTGAAGAGCTCGTCCACGTTTCCGCCCACGCAGGTGTTTTCACACACTTTGCCTGATTGCTGGACTGTGTGGGTTCGTGCACGTTGTTCTGCTGCTGCTGCTGCATCAAGGGCAGGGCAGCTTCCACCTTCATCATCCTTATTATCGCATCATTTATTCACCTCGTGTTCCTCCCCCAACTTCAACCTGAAAGAATCGGTTCGAGCGCCTCAAACCGCCCGTTTGAAGGCAGGTTTTTTGGGGAATTTGTGTTTTTGACAGGCTGTGAAAGGAGCGTTTAATTCAGCTTGTGGAAACCTGCAGCCTCCCCGTTGCCCTGCAGTGGCTCACCTTCCAGCTGCAGCGTAACATTACCACAACGCTTCCATCCCCTTTCTGCTGCCTTGTGTCTTTTAGTCGTGTGAAGGGTTTCTTTGATATTTCTACTTCGTGTTATTGATGCACATTGTACTTATTCGTGGCGGTTAAAAAATGAAATGAAACGGCGCCCCTTCGTTAACCTGCAGGCCGGTTTGTTGCTAAGCAGCCAGGCTCCGATGAGCATCCCGTCGTAGGTACCGGCGGCTCGTTGAGGATCTACACGAAGGCCTCGCTCTGCTCACGGTGATTCTAGTTCGTCAGGCGCTTTGTGACATCGACGGCAGAAACCCTCCGAACCGACGGTGCTCACGGGAGTTAAAGCTGAAGAGAAAACACGAGCAAAGTGTGGCGTCCTTAACTTGCTTGGACAAGCAAGGATACGCATAATGCATCAGATTGTCTGTAGAACTGAGACATCTCCATCTTATGTCACGTGTTGTTATGAACTAGTCCATCTGAATACACCTTTATAAACCAGTATTACTTCACCTGCTGCTGGTATCAGAAGTAATTAATGCTTTATCAGTTTGGACGTGACGTCCACCCGATGAGCTTCTGTTGTCGTTTGCTTACCAGATGTTGGTTTTGGTGGAAACAAAGTCGACTTAACATGAGATCCCATCAACCGGTCACTTGGTCATCAATGTGTCTGATTCAGTACAGTCCAACTGAGTCTCTATGGGGTCATTTTTTATTTCTTTGTGGTCATTTTGTGTGTCTTCATGGTCCTTTTCGTCACTGCTTATGGTCATTTTACACGTCTTTTAAGTCATTTTGCGTCTCATGATGATCATGTTGGATTTCTTTGAGGTCATTTTGTGTCTTTGTGGTAATTTGGCGTCTCTTTAGGGTCATTCTGTGTCTCTTTGCTGTCATTTTGCTTCTCTTTGGGGTAATTTTGTGTCTCTGTGGACATTTTATGTCTCTTCATGGCCATTTTGTGTGTCTTTGTTGTCATTTAGTGTCTCTTTAAGGTCCTTTTGCATCTCTTTGTGGACATTTTGTTTCTTTTTGTGGTCATTTTGCATTTCTGAAGTCATTTTGTGCTTCTTTGCGGTCATTTTACATTTCTTTGTGGGCATTTTGTGACTTTTTGTGGACGTTTTGCGTCTCTTTAAGGTCATTCTGTGTGTCTTTGTGTTTATTTTGCACCTCTTTATGATCATTAAAGTCATTATGTGCTTCTTTACGGTCATTTAATTTCTTTGTGGACATTTGGGTTGTTTTATGGTAATTTTGCATCTCTTTGAGGTCATCTCGATGTGCTTTGCGGTTATTTTGGGTCTCTTTATATTCAGTCTGCATCTCTTTAAGGTAATGTCGTGTCTCTCAGATGTCATTTTGGGTGTCTTTGTGGACATTTTGCTTCTTTTTGAGGACATTTGGATTGTTTTATGGTAATTTTGCGTCTCTTTATGGTCATTTTGTGTCTCTTTGCAGTCATTTTCTGATTGGTTGCGTCACAAGTAACAGCTGATCAGCACTGAACAATAAATGCTCAGTGTATGGAAAACATTCATGAAAATAAAAACAAAAATAAAAATAACAATAAAGTGAAAATATAATAAATTCCAGTAAATGAATAAATACAAAAGAAGACGTTGCAGCTGCTTCTCATAGTCTCACTCTTGCACTTCTTAAACTTTATGATGATTCATTGACTCCGTAGTTTCGATGACTTTTTTCTTTTTTTTTTTGGCTTTGTCCAAAGTTCCAGTTAATGAAGCGTTTTTCAACCTACGGCTGAAAATATGATCCTAACTGCCACAAATCTCAGCAGCTGCCAAACGATGCGCTGAGTCATTGGCCTTAATTAAAAACCCAGTCAGACGCATTCTGGTCATTTTTTTATCCGCGAGCCTGTAAAAACATCTTTATCGCTGCTTTAACGTGAGCGTATAGGATTCAGCCTGTTTGTTCCTCTGTCCAAGTCTTTATAACGTCCGTCTCCTCCTCTGCAGCGGCGTCGGGCGTAACTGGGGCTGGGCGTCGGCGGGCAGCAGCATCCTGGCCGAGTTTGGGACTCTGCACATGGAGTTTGTTCACCTGACCTACCTGACAGGAAACCCCGCCTACTACCAGAAGGTAACCCACTGACGTCGTTTTTCTCTTTAACATAAAGTCCTGCTCCTCTATGGAAACAGAACGACCCTGAGGGAACTTAGAAATGTCTTCTGTGCAGCGTGACACACAAATGATTCTAAAAAGTACCATTTCTTTGATTATTTATTTTACAAAAATGCAAAAAAACAAATACTCAACATGTCCACAGGTAACTCTGGAAACAATGGAGGCTTCACCTGTTAAAGATGTTCAACTGTTTTGTATTTTTAGCTTGTTTCCTGTCTGCTCGGTGTGAACACTGCCTGCAGTTCAGCCCAAAATATGCTGAGTCACTAGTTATGCAAGTTTTTGTTTTCTCTTAATCTGGTTAATGCAGTTGGTTTATTTTTGGGAAAATTTGTAAGACGTGTGGAGTTTTTCTAGACAAACTGAGAGTGACGTGTGTTTAGTTGTAGAATTACCAGTTATGATTAAGTTAAAACGATATAAATCATAAAAAACAAAAGGTTTGGCTATTTTTAAAAAAATTTTTTTTACAAAATTTCAAAAAAACTAATCAACATGCACCAGCGTAAATTCCCCCTGAGGAACATTGTCCTTTTAATTAATAAATACATAAACCCTCTGTGTCAACACTGCCTGCAGTTCAGCCAAAAAACAAGAGATGTGTAGTAAAGAGTTTTTCCCGACAAACCAAAAGTGACCTGTTTAGTTGTAGGATTGCTGGTTACCATTAAGTCAAAATGAAAAAGAAAAAGTAGATTTTTTAAAAATGTGTTTACGAATTTAAAAGAAAAAATCTCAGCATGCGCCGGGTTAAATCCTCCTGAGCACCGTCGTCCTTTTCATTTCTGAATATATAAACACTCTGTGGCAACACTGCCTCCAAGTCAGACGAAAAGAATTTGAATTTTTGTCACGAGACACTTGAGCGAGAAGTTGTTTTTTTTTACAGTATCTGGTGGTGCAAGTGTTTTCTTTTTCTTTTTGCAAATCTTTAAATGTAGAATATAGTGATGAGATTTCAAGATTTTAAATTCAGATTTGGTTAATTATCCCAACAGAACAGCTCGTCACACATGATTAGGACGGTTGGAAAGTTGAAAATCCGGCGTTGTTTTAATTTCTGTCTCTGATAAATGGTGTCATTTTGCTTCTTTTTTGCTTTTTTTTAAAGGTACCACGACTTTCAAACGAAAAATGTCTTTTGAGGTTCAGAGGTTGAAGAACATAAAAACAAATCTCACATAAACGAATTAAACGAGCGAGTCAGGAAGGGGAGATGTTTCCTTCTTGCATTAACACTGGTGTGACTGCTGTGTCCAGGTGATGCACATCCGGAAGCTGCTGGCCAAAATGGACCGACCCAACGGGCTTTACCCGAACTACCTGAACCCCCGTACGGGCCGCTGGGGCCAACGTGAGTACACCTGTCTATTGACCTTTTGATTTCCTCTGTCTTTACGTAGCAGAGCCATGAAGAGCAGGAGGAGAGATTAACTCTAAGTGGAGGGACGACGAGCGCTGGAATGGATCCTCTCTAATGAGGACAAATTGAATCGAGTAGAAGACGATGGAGGACGGGGGACGCAGTATTCCCACTATATTGATTAAATTTGGCGAGCTGCCCGGGGAAATTAACGGCGAAGTGAAGTTCGACACGCGGCGACACACGAAACCCGTCGTTTCTGCTCCGAGTAAATTCCCCCGCAAACGTGTAATGAAGCTGAAGAGACAACAAGTGCGTCTGTCGGTTACACCTGAAAACAACGTGGGACAAGCAGGCGCTTTGTAATTACGGTCACGCCGACGAAATGCAAATGCGGGATCAGAATACGAACACGTGAATCCCAGCGGACATGTTTTTAGCTTAAGCATAGGTCCAGTTTCAGGTAGCTCTGATTACTTCTCCTGTTTGTTGGGGCGGAGAAAGGATCCCGCTTCACCGCATGTTTGGAATAAAAACGAGTAAAAGTGTTCCTGTTCTGTGCAGAAAAGAATGCTGCTTTTTCTAAGTTTATCTGAAGAGAGCAGGTTAGAAGTCAGAGTTCAACAAATCACATGAGCGCCTCCCAGACTCACAGTATCTAAAAGTATTTGTACTCCTCATGAATATAAAAACTCTACGTTCAACTCTTAGTTAATGTTTTGTGCTCATGTCCATCCTTTGTGTTTCTTGACTTTGAATGGAAGCAGCTGTAACACGAGCAGTTTCCCCCTCAGGCATCGATAACGTGACTCTGAAGTCCAGACATCTGCAGCAATATCTTTAAGTTTCATCTCTACACATATATATATGTACAGATAAAACCAGACGTTTACATCCACTGTATAAACTTGTAACTTCTAACCTTTATTCTTCTCACTGTCTGACATTAAATCAAACTTTTCCTGTTTCAGGTCAGTCAGGATCACCAACATTAGTTCTATTTGTTAAACACCAGAATAATGACAGAGAGAGTTTTTTATGACTTTCTTCAAAGTCAGAAGTTTCCGTCCATCTCCTCAGGATCTGCTAGCGTTGCCTTTAAACTCTATGACTTTGGGTCAAACGTTCTGGGTTTCCTTCCACAAGCTTCTCACAACAGTCTAATGAGTTCTGGTCCATTCCTCCTGACAGAACTGGTGGAACTGGGTCGGGTTTGTTGGTCTCGTTGCTCCACTGATGTTCTCCAGGATGGAGATCAGGGCTTTGTGATGATGGCCACTCCACAACACTGACTTTTACCTCTTTTCCACCAAGGAGCACCAGGTGCTTAGTGCTGGTGCTTGGTTGGTTCCAATCTAAGAACCTGTTTGCTTTTCCATCAGCCAGGAGCCAAGTTCGAGCCACGCCATACGTCACTCCATACGTAGCCGTTTACTGAACAGCGGACGTCCACACAGGACTCCAGACAGACTTTTTAACCAGTGTGACCAGCTTTCTCATTTGATCGTACTTCCCACTTTGTCTCAGGTTAGACATGTGACTTGCTGAACATTTTCTTATCGATAGACGCTACAGTTTACGATGTTCCCCGAACGCCCCACATAGCAGGCTGCGGTAGCGGCTGTTGGTGGCTGCGGTGCTCAGACCGGTGTGTGACCAAAGATGGCTTTAAAAAGAGTAAACTAGAGCGTTCTGACGTCAGATTTGTTCAAGATGAAACCCAGCGATGTTTTCTCATGCGGCTTTTTCTATAAACAGCACATGTAGGTTTTTCATGAGAAGACCTCATGTCTAAGCGTAAATACTGCAGAACACCAAAGTTATAAAAGTACTGTTTTCCACCACCGTGGTGCTGCTGCTGGGACACAGTTGGACCGGGTTTCAATGGTTTGTGAAGAACTGCTGTGTGTCCCTGGACTTATTGCAATACATCTGTGATCGGACCAGAGACGTCCTGGTGAAAAACAACACAAATCACCGCTTGTGTGTCCCATTCATTCATCGGTCTCGGTGGTCTCGATGACCCCGCCCCCAGCTCCTGACGTACTGGTGCTTAGCTCTGGCCCAGCAAAGAGTTGGTGCTCACGAAGCACCAGTTCTGAGAGCCTGGAGCCGGTGATTAGGCGGTGGAAACACAAAGAACTGGTGCCAAGTCAGGCACGAGGACGGAACTAGCACTGGAACCAGTTTGGTGGAAAAGGGCTATTTGTTGTCCTGAAGCCTCTCTGTAGCTAATCTGGCACTATGCTGAGGGTCATTGTCCATCTGAAGACCCATTAGTGTCCAAGCTTTACCTTCCTGCTGATGTCTGGAGATGTTGCTTCAATATCTCCACATCATGTTCTGTTCAGTGTCTGGTTCCTACTGTACTGATCACACTAACTAAACATCAGGTTTGTGTACAGATGTGGGTGATGTGCTGGTGTCGCTGTGTTTTCTGCTTCACAATCAGAAACACCTCCGCTGTACGAACAGGAGGAGCCGTGACAGACACTAGACTGCTGTCTTCAGTGAGACGTGATGAACGCAGACCTTACTGGATGTCAGTTACGTTTTTAGGATACAGAGGAGATACAGAAACGCTGATAACTGACCTGCGCTCACGGCTGACAGCAAACTGCTCTGTCAGGGTTTGTCTCGCACGGCGCCGTCAGCCCGCCGAGTCGTCCTCCAAACATTTACCCAGAACGTCTCACGTTTCCTTTCATCCTGAGCGTTTGTAGACGTCTCCCCAAAAAATTACTTGGGAGCGTTTCAAGTTGCACTCGCAGCGTTCGCGAGGGAGCACTAAATATTTCTCTTTGTTTGTTTTCCAGCGTTGCAGTGGGGAGGGTTTTGAAAGCGAGTCGGCGTTTAACAGAGGCTCAGATGCCGGTTTGACAGATATGCAGAGGGTCGCCGTGTGTTATCGCAGCACTCCAACAGAATATTAAAACATTGTGGATATTAAAATATTCCTTTTCGCGCACGCCTCAGAAGTATTTTGTTTTAATGGAGCGCTGTAGTTTTTTTTTTTTTTTCCGATCCGATATCTGCTCCGGCTTTGCTCTTTAGTTCAGCGAGAGGAAATGAAAAGATGAAATCTCTTTAAAATTGAATATATTGTGGGATTTTTTTGTTTTTTTTTTTGTCCAGGAGAGCGAGTTGCTACGAGCGCCGTAATAAATCTATTAATTTCACACAACTCCCAAGTAAATGGAAACACACACAGACTAAAGAGAGTCCTAAAACACAGATGCTGTGGTCCAGCTAGATTAGATTTTTTTTTTTTTGTTTTACTTGTCGACAAAACAAATGGATGCACTCACGGACAGATAGATAAATGGAGGGGCTCATTAATGGATAGGTGGCTTGGCAGCCAGACTGATGTACTTGTAAATGCACAGACTTTGGGCCAAAGGCACGGAAAAATAAATGGGCGGAAGATGGAGGGAGGGCAGATTGATTGATGGATGAATGACTGCATTAACAGATGGATAGTTAGCTGGCGAGCTGCACGACGAGGCAGGTGATGATGGATGTTTGTGTTTGTTTCTGTGTGTGCGTGAGTCAGGAAGTGAGTCTCTCTGGGAGTTGTGTGAATTATTGTGTAGGCGGGTCGTTCCTGTAGCGACTCTCCACAGACCTCCCCGTTGACGAAGGACGAAATTCAGCTCCAAACTTTAGAAATTCACAAAATATATTTAAATATATATTTAATAGACATTTTTACTTTCTTTTTTTCTTTTAAAATCCATGAGCTGTTCTCAAGTCTGCATGAGTAACCATGATTTATCCCCGTCTCCTGTCACTAGTAAAACATATTATTTTCACAGTTTGGGCCTTTTTTTTGTTCGTTTTTTGTTCAGAATGTAAATTAATGCTTTTTTTCTTCTAATTATAATTTTTTCAAAAAAATCTGAATATAATCTTTAATATACCAGAGCACAATATCTGCAAAATCACTATTAATGTTTTTTCTTTTATATAAACAAACATCTAAATTAAATTTTTTATTTTTATTTTAAATACAAAAAAACAAAACAAAACTGTAATTTAATGTCAAAACAAAAAGCAGAATTGCTGTTTATTGAAAAACTGATTTTTAATGTGGACATTGTTTTAAGTTTGAACCTGTATTTTAACATGTGAATTAATGCACTTTTTTGTGTTATTTTACTAGTTGTTGTTTGTAATTTAATAAAACAAGAAAAGTCTTTAAAATAACAGTTAAAGATTTTTGTAAAAATACATATATATGATGTATTATAATTATTGTAATTTATAATAATATTGTATACATATTATAATTGATAATAAAAAATATTTTTTTTATTACCGTTTTCCAGTTCCTAATATACATGTTTTTTTTTCTTTCAAATAACTAAACATCTATAAATTCACATTCTTTATTTTTCCATTTCAAATACAGTAAAAAAAACAAAAAAAAAGGGCCATTTAAGGTCAAATATTGTAAACAAAAAATAAATGTCATTTCTAAAGATCCAGATTTTTGATATGGACATTGTTTTATGTGTTTTTAACATTTAACATGTAAAATAACACTTTGTTCTGCGGTTTTACTAGATTAGATCTTTAATCGATTAAAACAGGGGAAAATGTGCAAAATACCAGCAGACAGTTGAAAAATAATTACCTGAAAACGTTGACATTTTACAGTGTGGAGTGGCCTGGACACATTAATTAGCTGCCACCGCGCCTCGTTGCCGTAACCAGCTTTATTGATTACAGGGAGTTTGGTGGGAGCTCCGTTATTAATGTGAAACTGGAAGGGACGCGGGGCAGAAATGTCCTTGAATGTTGATAAATTCCTGCGGCATAACAAATGATGAGGCAAAGGTTCCCCCAATGATTTCACCGTACTTCCTCTTTATTCTCTGCGCTGTGAGGTAATCACGTCCAATCATGCGACTCTCGTGCCCTTGTCCAGTCGATTATTGTCGCCGGACGACTCTGTGCAGAGGTTTTTTTTTGGGAGGGGGGAAGAAAAA